GTCAAATCAAATACTATAAATATTGCTCTTATTGCCACAATCGGAAAACATCAGGTGGAGTCTACTGATAAGAGATGATCATTTATTCAATAAATTACTTTATTTTGTTACTCATGGACTCATTTATTCTTTTTAGTAACCTCAGGGGTGTTTACAATGTCTTACCCATGCTCTGCGAGAGCAGAAGACATGTATTTATTGATGTAATTTGAAGCCACAATTTTTTTTAAAAGACCTGAAGCAGACTATCATTGGTAAATTATATGTGACCGTAACATGCAGTCAAATGCTTTTTTCTGCCAGAGATACATTGAGCAGTGTATATAATTCATCAAAGCCTTGTTGCTCTAGGTCCTATAAATATTTTATATAACAACAAAGGTCCAGAAGGTAGCTAAACACACACACAAGCACACACATTTGTAGGTACTGTATATACTTGTATATATTGATTTAAACTCTAAGAATGGAGCATAAAATAAGCTAAATAAGACTGCTTTAAAATTAAAAATTGCTATCCTCTACATAGAAGATATGACAACTTAAGAAAACTTAAGTTCAATGATTTTTTAAACATTTTTAACATTAACTATGGAACTATTATCTAATAGCTTTCCTATAAAAAAGATTTTACCATTCTTCTATTTTTTAAAGTCCTTGAAAAGCATCATCATAGAGTTTAAATGTTATAGTGTTCTAACTGGACTGACAATCTTTGAAATTTATTTCATAATGTTTTCTCACAACGCCTTTCAAGAGTCACCACCCATTGTATAGATTGGTTGTGAATGTGTACAATATTATTTCACCAGCAACAAGTAAAGGTCTGCAGAGACCGTTCTAACCGAATTTGTCTGTTTTTATGAAACCTTAATGCTTGTGTGTTATCTGAATCATTAGTCAGATCCTTTTGTGTCATCTCTTTCCCTTGAGGAACATGTGCAGGTAAGTGGGTACTGGATATCTGTATCGGTGTTTTTCTGTAGAAGGAGAGCTCAACCCTTCTGGTTCTGAATAACAACAGCTACTGTATTTATCCTTTTCAAAGATGCACTCAACTCCAGCTGACCTGTTTTTGCTGCATCGAGTACTCTCCTTATGCTGCAAGTGGTGTCATATACAGTATACTGTATATTTACTATCATTGTTTTTTTATATAAAACACTCAAAGGATGATACTATATTTGTTAATTACATTTTGCTCCAGCTACAGCATTTCTAGTTTGTATACGGTAAATTTAATCTGTCCGCCTCTTTCTGTCTGTCTAATCTGTCTTTAAGAGTGTCTTTTGTAGGTAAGGTACTGTTTTCTCATCTCATCCAGTTTGGAACACTTCGCTCCAGTGGAGCTGAAAATATTGACCACAGAGCGGTAGCGTAAAGGGCTGGAAGGCTGCAGTGTCTTCTCACCTCTGCTCTTAATGACCAAATTGAGCTACTGATTATCTTAATTAGACCAATGTAACAATTTCCAGAGGTTTTCAGCTGATGAGGATTTACTGTACAGGGACCACAAAAAACTACTCTTAAGGGCTTGTGCATCTTTACCACTAAGAATGGTCACAGACTAGAGTGAGCCATTGTGCCCATTTTGCAGAATACAGTACGTTTTCAAACTCAATGCCAACAAAAGGTCATAGAGGCTCCTCAGGTTTCGGTTATTGGCAGTTTTCCGTGTTTAATAAGCTCCCTCTGGTATTTCCTTTGGTTGCCTCTAGAACTGGAACTTGCCAATCCGGTATATGCAGTGTTTTGCCATTTAATAAGTACAAATCTGTAGGCCCGAGGAGCTCAGTCCTGGTTCTGCAAGGGTGGTGTCTCTGCAGGTTTTTCTAGACTTCTTAAAAGCAGCGCCTGAAGACCTGGGAAAAGCTTTTCAACTCGTCCAGTTAATCCTATAATGAGCTGGTTCAGATCATTACAAGCCTGGTGAAGCGAAAATCTGTGGATACACATCAATTTTATGGACAGGAACAGAGATCCCTACTATAGACACTTGTCCTCACTTATTTAATTTCTTACCACAGGCACTAAGCTTAATACTATATTCATACTATACAATATATGAGATACAGGTTGAAAAGTCTATTGTTACATGCAACTTTTTACCTGATTGTAATTAAGAGCTCTGGTGACTTAAATATAGAAATGTTCTGGCCCTTGTGTTGTAAATCACCAGTTTTAAATACTGTATATCATCTCTTGTAATTATTGTTGCAATACAGAGTCTCCAAACCTGGCCCTGTGTAGTCCAAAAGCAGTTCCTCCTATACCTCACCTTTTTCTAAAATTTGACAATGCCTCTAAGGTATTATTAGAAACTTGGTCATCGAGGGCTGAAGAGTTTTCATATTTTAGTCCAAAATTATCTTCACTGAAAATTTAACACAACACCTGATTAATTGTTCACAAAGAACAGGGGCTCTTTGCAACCATACTTGAAAACCCCTGTTATACGGCAAATGGCAATACTGTAGGTTGCTTCTGAAACAAACTCTTAATTGTCTCTATGATTGGTAAGGTTCTTGTTGAGTGACCTGCAGAACCTTCAAAGAAAGGTTAAAAAAAAATCTGTTTTAATGAGTGTAGTAATGGGACCTTAGTACTATGGTTTTCCTTCTTTAGTGGAACTAATGATGTCGGCAGTTATATTTAATTAGAAAACAATGAGGTCACTAAAAGGCTTAGTTCAACTCATATAGTTCCTGAGTATTATAATTTAATTTAGTATTTAGACAGGAGGATGGAGATTTGTCCAGTGGTTTGTTATTCTAAACATGACAGAGTTAAGTGCTTGAAATCTTTATTACATAGAATAAAACTGGCATCCTAACTAAAAGAACATACCACCATCCTACAGATATACATTATTAGAAATGTTTAGACATTTTTAGAGTTGCAATAGTTGCTTAGTACCCTGTTTCACATCATATCCATGCGTACCAGAATAAGAGGACTGACAGGCACATCCAAAGGAGAGACAGTCATGTCTAGAGTGAACCTGACTAGAAGGGCATTCAAGATGCCCGGAAACTTGAAATATTTGCTTGTGGTTTGTTGAAACAAGGCTTGTGGGAATTCGGAACAAGCTACCCAACAATGTTGTTGAAACTGATACCCTGGCGTATTCTTCCACACAAACAAACTCCTGGATGAAATCCTCAGATCAGCTATTGAACGGGTGATATGGGCTGAATGGCATCCTCTCATTTGTAATATTTTTTAGGGTTTTAAGAAGTATCTACTATTAGAAGTACACTGGCTGGTTTTGTGCTCATTGTTTAAAACAAGAGCACTTTCTATCAATATGGTTCCAGCTTCTTTAATGCTCACATTCCGTTCACAAAAGGATATTAAGTTTACTCCATGCCATACACATTATTAATGTTAAAATATTATTAATATTATATAATACATACAATATAATTGATAATGATATCATTAACTTGGTTGCTTACATTTTTTCTGAGTTTAACTGTGTTGCATGTATTGAGAAAATACATGCATTTATGTATAATAATGTATTTATTGTATTTTTGTGTATCCAAGTTGATTTTTTGTTGAGGTTAAAGTGTCATTTCAAATAGCCTGCATCCTGCCTTGAATCCTTAACAAATTCAGAGCTAATGAACTCAGTTTACCACTTGCTTTGTTAAAAAGGTACCTTCATGTTCACTTATGCACTTTTACAGCAGTCTATATGCATAGCACGTTTTGAAGTATTTTCTAGTTTTTACAATGTTTATACCTTAATGTATCCCTGACTTTTTCAGCGATTCCCTGTGGCTTCTGTCATGCTTGACCACGTAACTCAGTGCTTTACCATCCTATTACTACCATTCTTTACTACACTTTGATCAGGGGTTCACATGGGAGCACAGTTAGTATTTAGAAGGGCTTGAACTATGCAGCTCAACTGGCAGCTCTGTTGTTCAGTTTAGCCATGTACAGAAATGAAAAGGATGAGTCACAGGCATAGATTACATTGATTTTTCTTCAAATGAAGCTTGAAGTCATGGTCTGTATGTTTATGGTCTAAGACTGAAGGATTATTTTATGAGCTATTTAACTTGAATTTCATGGTTAAATAGTAGGCACAATTGAATTTAAGCATCTTTTGGATTTTACCAAACACTGTAAAAAAACTGTATTTTAAATGCTGTCGCGGTATTATAATCCCAGAAGATTTTTTTTCAATCCATGACGTTTTAACATTTGGACGATTAGAGAATAGAGGCAATTTACTGAAAAAGAGGGGGATAAAACCCAGCCAGTTTTTCACCTCAGCCATGGCTCACTTACATAACACCTGTGCGTTTTGTATGCATAACACCACTCTCAAGAAGACAGGCGGCTTGGTAAATTTGTCTCCGTAAAAATCACAGGTGCTGTTGTGGAAACCGCACTTGATAAAAACACACTGTTCCAAAGCATTGCTCTTTTCTGAAATTGAGATGAACTCTGGGCAACTGACAATTTCTAGCCTTTTAGTGATGCGATATATAAAAAAAGTGTTTGTTTTATTGTAAAAGGCAGATATAAGAGGTAGACATCAGTACGTGCTTCTGCCTGTTTATATTCGTTTTCAGATCCTTTATCCATCCAGTGTGTCAAATTATTTTTGTGCAGCTTTTTTTCTTGAAGCTGTTTTCTAAAAATAAGAAAAATGTACATATCAGTATGTATCGCCATTAAAAGAGGTCTAAGCTCCCAAATGACATTGCTTTTCCTCTCACATTTGTTTATTTTTCAACCTGGAATTTTGGCAAACCTCTCCCAGAGCAGCGAATAAGCAAAGTCATGCACAAAACTGAAGACAGTTGCCTGTAGGGCGAAAGAAAAAAGGAACATAAATGAGTTGATTTAATTTTTAGAAGCCTTTGTGAAAGGAAACCCTATTTACAAATTCCTCGACTGCTTTGCTACCAGCTCTTGCCCTTGAATATTTTGTCATCTCTAAATTGTCCTTGAGTAACCCTCATTTACATTGTGTCTTACAGGAGCTTGTGGGGAGTAACCCACCGCAGAGGAACTGGAAAGGAATTGCAATTGCTCTGCTTGTTATTCTGGTCATCTGCTCGCTGATTGTCACCTCTGTCATTCTTCTGACACCAGGTATCGTAATGAAGTGCCTTCTATTTTAATACCTCTCTTTTCTCCTTTAAGCTCGGTTAAATTGCACTAAAAATAAAAGATCAAGCTGCGATACTAAAACAGACAGTGAGAAATGTGACAGAAAGTAAGCAGCGACTGCCGAAATGCTCTCCAGGTAACCATAGACACAGTAACGGCTCTCTTTCCATCAAAAAGAAAGGACCTGAGTAACATGAGCAGTTTTCAAATATGGAACCTGGAAAGCCGCTTCAAATAGATATTTTAGACAAAAGAGATTCTGCCAAGTGAAGAAGATGTCCTTTGAAATACGACAGGATGAAAACAGACTTGAATGTTTGTGTTATTCACTTGCAAAGAAGATAAAAAAAATCCCCAATCAAATGACAAGCCCTAAAAGTGAAAACCCGCAGGGTTTCATTTTCTATAGGTCCGGCAACCCCAGTACCCGAACATAGACTTCTAAACAACTCTCCCTAAATGCCTACTGGGTGGAACAAAATCACTACTCAAGAAGTACAGCAGCACAACTACTGGATTTAATTACTCCACCTCCTTTGTCCAATAGCTGCGGCTTGGCTTCCTCCTCATCATCATACCCTGTTGTTGAAGTGTTACTTTAGATGAAAACTAAAGTGAAAAATGGACATGTCCACTCTAGATGGGCGTGTTACTTAAAAAATGAACAATTACAGTACATTTAAGATAATGATCTGATAGACTATATAATGTTATGGAGAAAGTATAGTGAGTACAATGTACATGACAAATCAACGAAAAATTAATGTGTACATATATTGTGTAAGTGTGTGTGTTTAAGTAAATATGACCTTAAATTAAAGATCATAGTCCAATACTAGATACACTGTACATCTACTACTGCATATGTAGCGGAGCTAGTTCGGATAGGGTGGCGTCAGCGCCCTCCCTGCGCAAAGCAGGGTCCTCAGCCGCCTGGGCTGAGGGAGGTCTCCTTTAGCTCACTCGGCTGGTTCCCTGTTGCGTTACGCCGGAGACCCGGGTTTGCGCCCCAGGTACCGCAGGACGGAACGGGTGGCGGAGGGCACGAGCCGCGACGGTCACACATACTGTATAATGCTGTGGAAGTACAGTATAATAAGTAAACCTTTCTGTTTTTGTTTTCAATTAAAAAGAACTTGAATTGTGCATCGTTCCCCCCAAGTGACAAGTGAATGTTTTATGTGTTATAAAGCAGTCTGGGCTCTGTCTTTCCAGGGTATGCACCAGTGTAGTAATGAAGCCCAAGGTGAAATCACACCAACCCATGCTGTGCATACAGTATTTTATATATGCTATATACTGTGTATATTTCTATACTGTACTGTATGTTGTGGCTTTGCATATCATTTTTCTTTTTTATCGTCCGATTGCTTGCCAACAATTTTGTTTCTGTTTCACTTAAATGTGAAACCTTGACATCGTATTTCCTAGTTGATTAATCTAACAATCTGCAGACGTACAGCTGATGATCTCAAAGAGCCACCTGTTTAACTGGGATGCCTTAAGTTCAGTGTTTCAGCTGCTTGGAGCCTGTTTGTCTCAATATATTTGTCACACAAGGCAGGTCAACTCTTCCATGTTTCTGCAGTCATGTGTTTCAATTACTGTCCCTACGGAGTCTTTAGTTGACCATTCAATTCTTCTTATTTCTTATCGTCTTCTGAAAAAAAACCTTTATCAGTTTAGAATTGAATCTCCATTCCAGATGTGTTCATTTTCCACTCTAGTGTTTTTCAATGCATTCGTTGATCCATGTTGACATTTATGAAGTCTAGTATCACTGCATTTCACAATCTGAAACACAATTTTTATCTGGATAAGGCTCAGTTAGATAGCTCTATTTTAATACATTTCAGTCAGTTGTTTTAAATAATAGCGCTACTTTTACTTTTCAGAATTGCATTGCTTAATAATGAAGTGATCTAATTTTATGTTGAACCAATGTATTTTTTTTGGTTCTGTATGTGCATTAATCAGATTTGGAATATTAAATATATGAAAAATTGAAAATGAAAAATCTCCTGTCCCTGCCACATGCTTCTTTTATTTAGTTGTAATCACTAGTCATTACCATTAGATAAATTGCCTGTCTTTTTTGTATTTCATTTCATTCTTAAACATTTTCATATTTAATAGATCTTCATTTCATTTTAGATTACTTCATTTCCTGGATACTGACTGTGCTAGATTTATTTAAACATGCCTAATTTTAAATGAAGTTCAGAATCCAGTGCCTCTCTCAAGGCAGTTTTGTAACATGTAGTTTACATTTTCTTTAGTTTTTTAACTTGTCAGTAACCAAGACTACATTACTTTTTAAGTGAGTTCTACATTTGAATTTCCAGAACTGAGTACAGGTCTAATTTTTACTTAAAAAGGGCCTTCACCAAATTTATATTACATTAAAAACTTTCTGTTATGATTAGGACCATGATTTTTTATCAGTAGTACAATATTTTCTAAACTCAGCATATTCGTCTTAGCCACCCACTGTCAGCATCCATACCATCCACTCTGCTTGCTAATAATAAATTATTTTTGCTCCAATGGTAGTTGTGTATTATTTATTGTTTCTTGGTGTTATCACTACTTTTTATATCAGCAACTGCTTATTAACAACATTTTTTCCGTAAACAGATATGATATTGAATGCCTTCCACTATGTTTTTAGGTTACTATTTTAGCTAAACATATAATATTTTGAGCAACTGGCAATTAAAACATCATTTTTTACATGGTAATCAAATGAAATTGTTCTTAATGTGGATGGAATTTAAATTGATTCCTCCCCCATAATTTCATGTAGTCTCGTGCAATCAACAATGGTGAGTGTGGCGTATAATTTTATATCTTTTGAGAGAAATATTTTAAAAAAATTAACTTGGCAAGGTAAAATTATCATTTTAAAATTGCATGTAATTAAATGTAATTGAATTTAATCAGATTCCACTCAGTTTAATCTAATTTAATTTAATCAATTTGTATAACACACAAGGACAATTGGCATTGTTTTTTGTTATTGTATAATTAGATTGCCCTAAATTGAAGTCTAATATATCCTAAAACATTTTCCAAACAATATTGTACAAACCATTAATAATCAGCGTTGCATACACTGACAAACAGACTGTATTGAAAGAATGGTTTGACCTTACTGATTAAAGCAGGTAGTCATGCTCTTTCTTTCATTCTTTTTGGGGATTAAGTATCAGGACCTAAAAGCAGCACTCCATATCAAAACACGTGCTTTGGTTTTGTAAAAGAACAACATTCGGGTAAATGCAAGGACAGTTATTTGGAATTTTGACAGCTGGGACATGAAACATTTGGTCTAATGTTTGAGAGGTTTGGATTTGGCCTCTCTTGTTACCTTTTCCCTCTGTCGCTAATAGGACTACAGCTGCCTTTTCTGGCAGATAAATCGTCTGGCTCTTGTCATTTCTTCTTCCCTCTGCTGCTTTCCAATGGCCTTATCATTTGCCTTTTTTCTTTTGCCTCATGTTTGATAAATAACCGTCCACATTGCCATGTAAAAGCAGTTTAGTTTTAGTTTGTTTTTTCTGGGCACAGCTTTTGGAATTTTAGCTGTTTAAAACAGCTTAGTGATCAGCTGAATTTGTATGTGAAATACAACAGGACCTCAGATCCATTAGGGTAGATACTGTATGTACAAATGAAGTGGCCATAGTACAGTATATGGTCATTCAGACTGAACAGGTGGCGTCTCTGTTTGACTCCAGCCTGCCCTGATCATGTTTTGACTTTCAAGCCAAAAAGTATTTCTAAGGAGAGCTAGAAGTCTTTATTATATCTCCCGTTTCAAAAGCATCCCTCAAAAATATCAAATGAACTACAAATTCTACTAATTAATTCTGTTTATTATATCTACATAATCAATACAAGCAGTAAAATAGTTTTGTAATTGACCTAAAAATGGGAACAAGCCAGGGAGTTATGTGGGAATTCAGTTAATTCCTATGAACCCCAGAGTCACAGTCCGTAGTAAAGTCAGCAAGAATACAAGTCAGGTTCTTTTTGAATATGGGGTGTGCACAAATGCTTTCTCTTTTGCCTCAGTCCAATTTTCTTGCAATGAGATTATGCCATACACACTTAAAAGTCACTTTGAAAAATATATTTTAAAATACTGACACAGTACAACACATGACCTTTGCTGTAAACATCCATTAGTGGACAAATTGGAAACTTTTTGACGGGAATGAGGGGATGTGGCTATTTGCCAAGGCGAAAGACAATTCTTCAACTCCTTCTCAGCAGCAGATGGAAAAAAAAGGCATTAATTCACTCAGTAATTAAATTCTGCATCCTGCAGTACACCAATGATAAACTACAACAGCTGCTTTAGAATTTATCGCAAATCAATTTGAAAGAATTTCAACACACTGTGTGAATAAATTTCACGTAAATAAAAAAAATAGTAAATATAAAAGTGCTATCAAATGCAAAGCAAAAACAGGCATTGCTGATTTAAAAACAGAGAACATAATCAGTCTTAGTAAGAAAATGTAGCCAGGTGTCTGGAAGTCATTTAGCTGGTGTGGTGACACAAAACTCGAGACTCCTGTCTTGAATTTGTTATAAACAAAATGTAACACATTTGACTGCAGGACATACAATAGGTATTAACTTGTACAGGCCTGCTCTTAGTGGATGTTTCCTGTATTCTTCACTGGAATATTTCCCTTGGACTTTTACGCATTTAGTTTGTTCTTTTACCAAACATATTTGTGGGTGATTAGGGTAATGACTCTCCATGAGTTTCAGTTAAACAACATTGGATTCTCATCTCTGTTTTTCGTGGACAGTCTTAATGCCAAAGCCTAGTACAAAGATTTTTAATAAATAATCTGTTTATAAGGGGCGAAAAGAATATTTAAAGGCCTAAAAGCAACATGATCCACATTGTTAAAGCAATGTCTTCAGTCTCAAGCTGAAGTGATTATGAAGGGAAATGATACAAGATATTGAGAATTCCAAATGGTATTGACATACTATAGCAAACTCAATAGAATAGTTCCTGAAACAAACCCAGAAGAGCATTACTGGAAGAGATGATATAAGTGTCTTTAGGACAGAGAAAATAGGGCATGTTCATTCATAGTGCATGGTGGGTGCTTTGGAAAAAAGACTGATTTTCTCCAAACCTTAAAGAAACACCTGGATGAGATTCTTGTACCAATAAACTACCAGTAACCAAAAGAGCACAAGAAGTCAAATGGCCTCCTCTTGCACATGCACTTCTTATGTAGAAAAGAAATCGTTCCTATGATTATATGGTAAATGCTGCTTCAGAAATACACCTGACTGGAATGATTGGGATGGATAAGCAGCTTGGGATGGGATTTTCAGCTTGCCTGTCACTCACTGTAATGTGAAATCTGTAATGTAGAATCAGTTATTTAGTTACTGGCACTGTTTCCATTCTGGCTTCATTGCATGAAATGCACTGTAGTGAGCAGGGCCAATGTGTGTACTATATCTTCAGATTATTTAGGGTGACGGCGAGAGACGATTATTGCATATTGCAGGTAGCCGGTGTGAGTAGTGTCATAGATAGTTTTATTTTCTTTAGCACTTCTTTTCAATAAGAATCATACAGATTCCTTCCATTTTTAGGTTTCCAGTAGGTGTCATTTATTTTAAACAAATGTGAAGAGAAGATGTAAGTTTAAATCTGAAAGACATTCAACACATTTAGTAAGATGTCTCCAGTGTATAGGTATCCCCAGTTGTGTTTCTTTCATTAGGCTCTGTAATGGTAGATTAATTTCTTTTTCCACATCCCAAACCTAAACATTACATTTTTGCTCAGGAGACTCCAAATATCTTTATCTCAGAGTAATTTTACAGACAAACACTAGTTTTATGCTTCTAGGGAACACAGTTTTGGAAATGTAGATAATCAAGAAAATGTTATTTAGGTGTATTTTTTAAATACTTTTGAGTGAGACTACTGCATTTCAAGCACTGCACAGTTCTGGATACATATTATTAACATACGGTATAAGCATATATTGATAACGTATTATATTTGTTTATTTGTTTACTATTATATATATTACATATTGCAAGTTCTACCCCATTGAGCATTTAGGATACCTAAATGCCTGAATGAATATACAATTCTTAAAATACTAGAGTTCTTTCTTGTTCCTAAATTATATCTAACTATAAGTTCCTTCTGTTAGCTACTGTTTTCAGTCATGGATTGCAGTATTAAATTAGATTTACTAGGTATCATTGCTCTTTCTTTCTGCTTTACTCTTAACCATTTACTGTATTTGTTTTACTACATAATACTAATTAGCAAGCTTTCTTTTCACTTGCAGGTGAAGATGACAGCCTAGCTTCAAAGGAAAGGGTGACTGTAGAAGATCTCTTTAGCAAGGATTTCCAAATCCATGACCCAGAAGCCAAGTGGATCAGTGGTAAATACAACTTTGTGCTTTCACAGTATTTATTTATGGATTTATTAGAGAATGAAAAAAATCAGAGCAGCATGAAATACAGTGTGTATTAAAAAATCCAGATGAAGTGTGCATACTGCAAGTGCAATAACATAGATGTTGATTTTTTTTCTCAATGCAACCATCATAATAAATACATATTTGATTGTGCTTATGTATATATTCATTTTAAATAAGGAGGTGTTTCTTTCCCCAGGGAGGATCACAGATCTCTAAGTGGGGATCATTAAATGAGCCCTATGATGTTTAAACCTATCATTAGATAATCCCTAAAGAGAGGAGTACAGCATGTGCCTTGCAATCATAACATGAATTGTTTGCAGTTTTACAAACTGAACAAAGGATTTTCAATGTATCAATATATTTTTCAAAAATCATCTGTGCTGGTTCACCACAGAAAACCATTTTAGCACTCGTTACAGCTTGTGCAAGACATGCTAGAAAAGAAATGGATCATAATGCATTCCATTTAGCTAAATCCTTTGTAATAGCACTGTAAGAGCATATTCTGCTGCAGCACTTCTGGTGAATACTTAAGAGCTTGGAGATGGTATTTTATGTTTTTGTGTCTTATACTTATGGTGGGTCATCAAAAAAGCAGCTATTTTTATCACCTGCAGGTTCAGTATTTGACATTTCTGCAGACAAGCAGGTTATCTATTGATTATGTAATGTTGTACTATCTTGAATATTATAATGATATAATATAACTATGAAACATATTTGTGTATTTTTGTGAGCTTTATAGAACGCTGAATGTGGATATTTCAGTAAGTTCAGGTGTCGTACTGTTTTGGTGTCACTCCTGCCTTTGTCTTATGTGGGTAAACTCATCAAGTTGTAAAAGAAAAGACGACACAATGATTTGCTCCTTTCTTCCTTCCTTTTAAGCAGCACCAGAATAAGTACTGCCCATAGTAAAGGGAAACCATATTGACAATGTGGTTGCTGAATTAGAGATGTGTAGTTGGAGGGTGGAAATTCTAGCTGCATACAATAAGGTATGGATTAATCGGGTGCTGTGGGACCTCCATTAAATCATCAGGTTTAGCTGCCAAGATCCAGTGAAGAGAAAAAAAGCCCCATTAGATGTCCAACTATTTTATTCCTTTTTCCTTTTACACTGTTATTAGGCCATCCAAAAAGACAAATGTAAATGATTTTTGCTCTTGTTGGGAGAGGATTCAGATGCATATATTTCCAACCTTCTAGCCTTCTCTAATACGAATAAGAATAAGAATTCATGTGCATCACATATTAATGAAATCTGGACTGATATTTAGCCAGTGTTTCAGGCTTAACACCCTTGCTCATGCAAACAGTGCCATGGGATCTTTAGTGACTGAGTAAAATCTCAATTGAAAAGCTGGTGCATGGGTGGAAAATTCAGGGTGAGGCGGAAGGGTGCCACTTACTGATCCAGTATTCAGAATCCTGTTCAAGCTGTAACAGAAGCCTTATAGAAACCCTTGGTATTCAGTGGGGATTGTAACAAACAGTTCTTTCCGGACCCTATGCGGACGACACAATCCGAAGAAGTGGGAAACACTAGGAAAACGTCATGCAGGAATACGGGGCTGAAAACAGGGGGGCGTGCCCAAAGTGCACTGGTGCACGGGGGAGGTGTGGCTGAGGCAAACAATCCAAAAGTAATCCATAGAGGGAATCCAAAAACGCAAGAATAAGTCCATAGCCAGGTGATCCATCCAAACAAGGAATTAAAAACATGAACCGGGTCGGAACCGGCGGACAAGGAACAGGAACAGGAACAGAGGTTAAAACCTTAACGGGACCAGGCGCTTCCAGGTCCCGGACTCGCACGGTGCGGAAACCAGATGCAGAGACAGGATGAACGTCAGCGCCTGGCTTTTAAGGTGGGCTGGGAAAAGGGGTCAGGTGCACAGAATTAAGTCTAAAGTGAAAGGGTGGAGCACCCTTAAGGAGGGGGGACTATAATCGTGACAGGGATCCCTTAATTTTAGCCAATGAACATATCAATGTAAGTACACTATACACAAATGATGATTCTTTATCAAACTAATTTGTCTGCGCCCTTCAACCACACTTGACCCAGTAACTCTCTTTTTACTTTGAGCATGACACCTCATTACTGTAGGTGCTACACTCTTGGTGTTCGTGGTAAAGAGTAGAACCATAGGGAGGTTTTCAAGGGAGGAGAAGGCAAACTAGAAGAAGAGGGATCTACAAGGAGACAGTGATAGTTCTGTCTTAACAGAAGCACAGTACAATGTGATCATGCGCAGGAGAAAACACTGGCTGATGATGATAATAGTAATAATAATAATAATAATAACATCCCTTTATTAACCCTTTACAATTTCTTGCATTAGGAATTATCTTTTCGCATACCCCAGCTTGCTCTCCATGAGACACAGGCACACAGACATGGAGAGAGAAGCTTGGGGTCAGAGCGCAGGGTCAGCCACTGTACAGTGCCCCTGGAGCAGTTGGGGTTAAGGGCCTTGCACAGGACCCCAACGGAGAAGGATTCCTCTGCCGGCTGCGGGATTTGAACCGGCAACCTTCCGGCCACAGATCCTTAGCCACAGAGCCACCACTCTGCACCAAACGTAGAAAAAACATTATCCGAGGCTATCAGTTTATTCATATATCATTTTACAGACAGCAGAGGTGCAGCAGGTAAATTAAAAGAGAACGCAAAATCTTCGTTCTGTGTGGCTTGAAAGAGATAAACAGGGAATAAAAATAACAAACCAAAGTAGAGAAAAATGAAAGGCCACATAACAGAGGGATCCAGTTGTCCAGCAGTGCTTCGGGCCTTTTTTCCTGGAGTTATTTGAGTGCTGACGATAGAGTTAAATAAGGTGAGGCGCAGCTGTAACAAGTGAATGGTGATGAGAGTGCTACAGCTGTGTGTCGTTAGAGCAGTCACATACAGTACAGTATGGCCCGGACTGGAAGCTGAGTGAACTGCTCATGTAGGAATACGTGAATTCTGCACATGCTGATCAGAAAGTAATTGCAAGGGTGTGTTTGGTAAGAGAGACTGAGAAAGTTGGATATCTCATTTTATAAAATGGCCTGTATAACACTGGGTAAAAAATCTGGATGTTGTATTTCTGCACTGTTTTAGTTTAAAGTTCTATATTTCACTCCTGCAAAACAGTAGAGACCAGCAGTGCCCAAGGAGACTAGAATCCAAGCTGTCATGTTAGAGGTAACTAATTGGGAAATGGGGCATTGTGCAGCCCACAGGATTGTGAAAGCAGTCAGCAACACCCAAGAGAACACAGTAGTGCAGTTACTGTAGGAATACAGATGTTAAGCAATTAATGAGAGGGGTTTGTTTTTAGTTATCTTAGTAGTGATGATTTCTCATCATAGAAGACACTCACAGACAATGAAAAAAATTAGATTGCACAAAATATTGCTTGTGAATAGAATCCCAAGGGGAAAGAGCAGCAGTAGTTTATGCTATACAGTACATCAGTCGCTGTAATTTCTTTTGGCAGATGTGAAGAAATTAAATCTAGTAAATGTAAAAACGGCGTTTGCAGTTTTGTTTGTTTCTATTCTGCATTGTGTCAGTGACACTAAAGAAGTACTGTACATATGCAAATAATAAATTAAGAAATTTAAAATTAAGAAAAATATGTGATAAAATTAACTCACAAAAACACTGCTACTGCCTGAGATACGGCAGTCTGAATGTGTTTCTCAGTGCAGTTCGGTATATAGTGTGGTATGGAGATGTACAGTAGCAGTTAGCACTATACTTCTGCTACACAGCCCCAGCTCCAGGGAGCAGGGCTTGAATATGGCCTCAGGCATCTGTCTATGTGGAGATTTCATGTGCTCCTCGTGTTTTTGTGGGTTTTATTTGAGTGCTTTGGCTCCTTTTCAGCTCCCCAAGTCTTCTCTAGATCTGACAGGCAATTCCAAACTGCCCTGAGAGGGACTGGCAGCCTGTCCAGAGTGAAGCCGTCATGTGCTCACAGTCCTGCTTGGCACTCCGTGCTTACAGCAGTTTCACCACATTGCCTCATCAACATGGGCGGCTTCAAATGCAATCAATCTTCTGCTCTTTTTTTCACTCTATAACTGATAAAAACCAAAGGCAGACAGTATCTTCTGACTCCATTCCTAAATGTAGTTTATTTAATTTAATTTTGGGTCATCTCAGAGTTTCATGCATTCTATTCTCATCAGATATTGGCAATAACCACTAACATCAAATCTACCACTTTCACTGGATTCTACTCCCATTCTCACACGTTATCAATGAATCATTAAGAGAGTTAAGGAGTTCTTCCCTCAGATAATAAACGTACTGTACACTTATTACTGTTCTTAAACGCTGACGTTAAATCCGTCTGCTCAGTAATGCAGTATGAGACAATACAGTATCTAATCATTTTGGGAAAGGTTCTGAAATGGGCATTTGTGTCTTTTTAACAATGTATCTAGGAAAAAGCTGTACGAACCACTGCTGTTTTGATCTATGTTCAGATCAATGCATATTACTAAAACAGGTCTTGTTAGGTTCATTAATCATTTATTACCACTGACTCCAGATTTTTGATCCATTCTTATCCTGCAGGACCTCAGTGCTGCCTTTGATACTGTTGATCATAACTTTTTGTTGAATGTATTAGAGAGGTTTATTAGCGTTACTGGAACTGCGTTGATGTCATTTAATTCTTAAACGTACGGACAACAAATTTCAGATTAGGAATTGTTCCATCCTGACAAGGGGTCACATGTAGCATCCCACAGGGAGCTTTTTTGATATTAAGAAGTTGATATAAAAATAATCTGCAACTCTCCAAATTCATCAACTTATATTTCACTATTGGTGGCGTAGGAATCAGACTGAGTATTCAAGTCAGGAATCTGTGATCACCGATCCAATTCTTACATTTGACGTTGTGAAGGCGTCTTTTTTCGTCTTCATAACATTGCTCTTTTGTCTTTTCTGG